TGCCGCTGCCCCGCGTCTCGGACCCGCCCTGCCTCCTCGCCGTCCCCGCCCGCGTCGCCTTGGGCCCCGCCGCCTCCGGCCTCCCCGCAGCCCCTCCCCGACGCCCCAGTGCCCGGTCCGACCTCCTTCGTTGCTCCCCGCGCACCCCTAGCCTTGCCCGCTGTTCCCCGGATCGCTTCCTCTGGCCCCTCGGTCCTCGTGGGGGTCTCCCCCATCGGCTGTCCCCGGGCACCTCACAGCCCCTCCTCTGCCATCTCGGTAGCCCCGGGGGCTTCCTGCCACTCCGCCCACGACGCGCTTCGCCTTCTGGCTGTGGTTCCCTTTCTCCTCCCCCATCTCCACACTCGAAGCCTTTCTGTCTCCTCCTCACCACGTCCCTTCCGACGTGTCCTGGCGTGCGGGTCCTGCAGCCTGCCTGGGCTGAGCTGCGGGACGGCCGGGGCTTATCACACAGCGTGTCCCTTAGTGTGCACCTCAGCGCGGGTGCACTGCGGGGGAAGCGATGGCCGAGCGGGGTCTTGGGTTTGAGTAGGACTTTCCAGATGTGGAGTAAGGATGGGTGTCCTGCACCTGCCCAGGTGTGAGAGGAAGGAGGAGGTGGGGGCTCCGAGAGGGCGAGCCGTCCTGTGGGATGGGTGGCTGCATCACATTATGGAAGCCCTTTTGTGCTGTGCCAGAGAGTTTGGACTCCATCCCATAAGCTAGTAATTCTCGACTGGGGAAAAGACTCCCTGAAGTCAGGCCACTTCTAAGAAAATGGAAGCACTTCATTCATTCCTTATAGTCTTATTTCATGGTAAATCGAATATCACGTCCAAGAAACATCAAAGTACTGGTGATTTCTGAAAATGCTTTAATTGACAACCCCCTGCCCTGTATTCGGATAAGCTGCTTGTCCTCTATCCCCTGGAGAATCACTGCATGTGGCCCTGCAGGTTTTCAGCAGAGGAGTGTGCTTTTTATTTTTATGTTTTGGCAGGTGTGGGGATCTGAGCCATGACCTTGGTATTAAAAGGCTGCACTCTAACTGAGCTAACTGGCCAGCCCTGGAGTGTGTTTTAATGTGGTGGGCAGGTGGCCCGTTGAGAAACCACCTTGCCAGCCAGAAGCTGGGTGGGCAGGGCTGGGGTGGGGTGGCTGGGAGGAGGGCCACATATGCCCTGCCAGTCTGGCTGACCCTCTTGTGGCTGCACCACCCTCCAGCTCTGAAGGTAGATGGTAGTCACCCTTGAGAATCTGAAAGAGGTGGTCCAGCTCAGCGCTCATCTGTAGAGGCCCAGAGAGGGTGGAGTTGCACAGGCCACTCCTGGAGGTGCTGGGAGTGGGCCATGGGGTCGCCACCACCCTCACCCCTCCCCTTCATTCCTTGTCTACCTTGGAGTTTGTGCTTTTTCTGCATTTTTCCTCTTGGCACTTGTTCTCTTTGAACTAACAGAGTGTGTACTTTTCCTTCATGTCACCTCGGTTACTGCAGTGAAAGATAATTAAGCATAACATTATACAGTTATGTGTCACTTATCGAAAGGGATACCTCCTGAGAAATGTGTCATTAGGCGATTTCCTGGTTCTGGGAACATCACAGGTGCACTTAACAAACCTGGATGGTGCAGCCAACTGCACACTTGGCTGTGTGGTCCAGCCTGTGGCTCCCAGGCCACAAACCTGTGCAGCATGTGACTGTACTGCATACTGCGAGCAGTTGTAACACAGTGGTGAGCACCCAGGTATCGTAACATAGAAAAGGTACGGTAAAATATGGAATCATAATCTTATGGGACCACCGTCATATATGCGGTCCATCTGTAAGTATATTCAATACCACTGTACTGTACACTTAAAACTGGTTAACATGATAAAGTTTATGCTATGTGTATTTTGCCACAATAAAAAAATTCAGGAAAATAAATTTTTTTTTAAAAAAGATAATATTGTACCTCATATAGACATAAGTGGACGTTTGTTACAGATCCATTGAATTCACTCAGTGAGGCACCCAGCCCTGATGTGGTCATGGAGAAGTCAGAACAGCACAAGGGGGTGGCCAGTGGGGGGAAGTGGGAGCCTCTGTGCCCAGGACAGAATTTGCCTGTCTGGGGGAAGTGACCCTCTGTCTGCGGTTTACAGAGCCGTGACCCGTACCCGGGGGTGTCCTCTGGAGTCTAGACCAGTGCTTCTCTCCTTTTTCCATTATTGCTTTGTCAGACATTTTTTTCCTAATTGTCCCTTCATGAAATCTCTTATGTTTTTATCGGCAAATGACAATTGTATACATTTCTGGTGTGCCCCCGTGAACTCTGCATAATACAGAAATACTCCCCGTTGTGTAGACTGCAGGGACAGCACCTCCCATAGTTCTGACCATGCTGTCATCAGCTGCCCTCCTCTTGTCCCTCTCTCAGAGCGCTTCTGGTGGCAGCTGAGGTCATCATTTCACGTTTTTCCTGCATAAGGTCACCTTTCCTGTGGCCTCGGGTGCAGGTGAGGTGAGCCTGGAGCTCTGTCAGGCTGTCTTGGGGACTTTCCGGAACTTCTGACAAAATTAGTGAGTGAGGTGCCCCAGTGTGACAGGAAGATCATTCCCCATTGGCATGGGGCAGGTGTCCCTCCAGATCCCCAATGTGTTTGAATTGTGACAACTGTGATCTGAGCAGCGGATGAAGGCCCTGGAATCTGGCGAGCCTGGAGGAAGAAGGAGGCACCCAAGGAAGGATGGGCTTTCTTCTCTGAGCTTCAAAAAGTGTATTTTGAATTTTATTGGGGCATCGTCCAGAAGTCCAGAAATTACCAGAGAGTGTTCTGGAGGAACTTAGAATAGGGGCAGTTTGGCAGCACCAAGGAACATGCCAAAAACATCACCTCCATGTGGGTGGCCCACCTCAGCCACCACAATAGCCACAGCTGCCGTGAAAGCGGGTAGACACCACAACTACCACGCAGATGGTCCACCAGCCACTGGAGTGCATTGACACCAGGAGAGTTACCAGCACAGACCAAAGAAAAAAAGAGGATGTCTCTCTCCACAAAGCCCATTCCAGAGTGACAGAAGAAGCACCTTCTCTGTGATAATATTGGGGGACCTGAACACACCTCTCAGCATTGGACAGATCATCTAGGCAACAAATCAACAGAGTAACCATTCCTCTTTCAGAGGGAGAGAAGAAATCTAGGGTTGTCAATGGGGGGAGGGGGAAGGGAGAGGGGGATGGGAAGAGATTGGACAAGGGGCATAAAGAGTAATTACGATTTTTAACAATATATATGCTAGTAATCTTAGTTTGATCAACATATGTCAATGTTAAACCCAAAACACATGTATTATCAATTATGATTCAATTAAAAAAAAAAAAAGAATAGGGGCAATTTGGGCTGATTTGGAATAAAGTCTGGCTTTGGTGGTGATAGCTGGTGGGCCAGCTGCAAGCTCATGTGATGTTAAGGGAATTGCGTGTGGGAGGGGACTCAAGCATAGAGAGGAACAGTTGTGAAGATGGTGGTTTGGAGTGGGCGGAGGAGAATTAGGTGGAATGTGGCAGGAGGGCCACATATTGTCCTTGGCTTCCTCCCATCCCCCCTGCCATCATATCTGCAGTGTTCCTCCATTCTCATTCTGGCTCTCGCCCAGCCCACATCTGCTGAGTACTTACCAGGTGCCTGTCCCTGTGCCAGGTTATCACTTTGAGCCCATGAAGGCTGTTCCTTAAAAATGTTGCAGAAAGTTTGGGGAGTGTGTGCACATGTGCCCTTTCTCCAGAGGCGGCCTGTGGCTCACGACCCAGAACAGTGTAAACACAGGAGGATGAGGAAGTTCACGCTGCCTGGGAGCTGGTCGGTGGGGGAGGCAGAAGCAGGTGGGCTGTGGGGGCACGGAGGAAAGGGCTTGTCTGACCCTGCCGTCGTGGTGCCCAGTCGCACGGAAGAATGTGCTTGGAGCTGGGCTGTTCTGGCATGCAGCCACAAGGGCATCACAAGCAGCCTGAAATCTTGAGTTCCATCCTTAATACGTGTGCAGCCTGCATTCCCCTTTCTTCACCTCGTAGCCATGGTATAACAATGACTGTGGCAGCTTTATGCCGTCATTTTGGCGCTGGAATACTCTGTAGATGCAGAACCAGAGTGGAGAGAGCACAAGTGTGTCAGATAATAAATGAATCCTAACTTGGGTGAGGAGTGATTTTGTTTGAAAGGACTATTGGGGAAGGGGGTGCTGCTGCAGAGAGAATGCTCCAACCCTCAGTTCTGCAAGGTCTCAGGGTCACGAAGAACAGAAGCAGGTGTGGGGAGATGGGAACCAGCCTGGAGGCCGGGGTGTGGCCATGGAGGGCCTGAGGGAAGGAGAGGCTGCACTACAGGCTGACCGAGGCTGGTTAGGGGGCATTGTGTTCCAGCGGGGACAAACAGTCCAGCCAGAGTTTTATGGGGCAAAGAATGGGCACTGGAGGGCCAACAAGATTGGCCTTGCCGTGGGGAACCAAGGGGGCATCTGTGATCTTATCTAGGTCATATGGGGACGGGCTCTCGGCAGAAGACTTTCCTGGAACCCTGAAGGGCAAGGGTTTCGTAATAGTTCTCCAGGATCGCAGGGCTGGGTAATGTTCACCCTGTGCAGGCCGAGGGCTGCTGGAGCCGCCCAGGAGTCTGAGAACCAGCAGACTTTTCTAAGCAATGGCAGGTTCAGGGGCTTCCCAGGAGCCCTGTGGCTGGCTGAGAGCTCCGTCTGAGGTGAGGGAGGTGGCGACTTGGAATCAACACCAAGTTGTTGTCCTGTAGAACGCCAGCATTTCCCTTTCAGGACACCATCAGCCCTGGTGGTGCACCGTCGTCTTGCAGCTGTTGACAACTCTGTGCATTGTAGAAAGTGGACAGTGAAGCAGGCAGCTCCTGCCATGCAGTGCAAGTGCACCTTGTCCTCTGCAGGCGCAATAGGTCTCCTCTCCCCCGCCCCTGTGAAAGAAGCCGGTTTTGC